AATTTCATTTAAGGGGCTGGCATCGTAGATACTCCCATAAGCCACAACGCGTTGGTCAATTTAATTTAAGGTTCCGCGAACGATCGTAAATGGGCCCTTAAAATAAATTGGCAAGAAGTAAGTTAACAGCATTTGCACAAGCTCGTGTAGTGCGAAAGCTATAGCCAGGTTTTAGGCGTGCCAAAAAGTAGTGAGAACCTAAGTACAAGCATTAGACAAAATATAAGTGCCTTTTTACACACTTAAAACACTGGTACAAAACAATGCACTGGCAAGAAGTAAATAAAACACAAAAAAACAATAACAGTCATACTAAACAGTACCAAATAAAACTTTAAACAATTGATCAACATATTATATGCAAATAACTTCTAAAAGTAATTGTCTTAAATGCAAATGTCAAGGTAACAGGGTTGCAATAGCAAGCCTGATTTTAGTGAACACATTTCACTAGCTGAGGTAAAAATTTGTGTTGAAATTGAATCATGTCCAAAGGGAGGTTGGCATCATTCCTGTGACTGAGCTTGGATTTGGTGTTAGGGTCTCATTTGCTAAAAACTCCAATGGTAGTTTCACTAAATGTCCCTGAAAAGAAAAGAAGAAGAACTAACAACTGTTATGTTTATAAAACTACAGTCATTCCAGTATCTTGCTAACTTTCTAAAAGAAAATGATGAAGTTATTAAGGGCCCATGAAAACAAGTTATTGTGAGTCATTTGCAGATTTTGAATCACAGTGACCGACTGGAAAACCTAAATTTTGACTGACCAATCAAAATTGAGCATTCAAAAGCCGCAAATGGCTTTATAGTGAGTTTCACATGTTTACTGTGCAGGGTTTCACTCTTTTTAGAAAGTTAATACGAGTCATGGGTAGACAAGCATTTCTTTGGTGACTTTCTGTGTGGTCATTTCCGAAGTATATGAACAGTACCTTGATTCCTTCTAGCTTTTTTGTAGCAGCAGTTAGATCCGAATGGCACAAAGGCATTTCCTCTTGATATTTTTTTAATGAAGCAAAGCTATTTGCTTGATCTGATGGAATGCAATGAAATACCTTGAAATTGAAAATAGGTACAATTATTTCAACTGAATGGGTTTTTAGTTAAGGAAAATCTTAATTTTCAAACAAAAAGTCATTACTTCTTCATAGATTGCAGTGTTTTCAGCAGCAGTCAGCATCCAAATTTCTCGATAAAAATAATCACTGGCTGGATCATTGATGTTCACATTGTGGTCAGAATCAAGAAGTCCTAGATGCTCACTGAATAATTGACGTCTCAGAGATCCTCCAAAACGCCCAGAAACAAAATCTTCATGGGCCATTGTACATGAGTCAAAGTCACGGTCCTGAAGTTAAATATACTAAGTATTTTTGGAATACTTCAAACATTTTTTGAACACAAACAACATCTTTACATACCTGAACAATAATAGCTATCTCTGAATCTCTTTTACCCAAAAGACTGCGGTCATTTATGTTGGCAGATCCACAAATAACAATTGCATCATCAGCAATTAGAAGTTTTGAATGAACATAAATAAGTTCTGTTACCTTAAAGCACAAGGAGACTTAACACATAGAACATACAATTTATGGCTGCATCAAGTCATTGATTATAGAATGACTACTTACCAAACTCCCATGCAAGACAGAGTGATTGCGGAGTCCATAGAAGGACACATACTCTTCGGTATCACTAATACCTGCATCTTTCAATCTTTGAATCAAGGAGTCTTTTCCCCTGAAAAATACATAACCACAGTTTAGTTACAAACTTAAGAACAATGCATATTTGAATGATATATATACATATATATAAAAAATTATCCAACATACCTGCATATTGATGAGTAATTCCAATGAGTGATTGCGTGAAGAGCAGTCCCAGTGCTTTGACCAACTTCTCCTTCAAATCCAGGAAGTAGGGGCATCACAACATAGACACGAAAAATACTTCCTTCTCTAAAAAAACAAAACGAAAAAGGCTTTTGTTCAGAGCTAGTGTCTAAATGACCTCCATGTAACAGAGTGTAATGTGGACACAAACACTAACTTGTATGCTCTCAATATCCTCTTGAAAAGGGCATCCCCCACTTGGTTACGTACCACAGAAGCAGAATTAGTGCCTTGGGTGATAAAAAACTGATTTTCAATGTAGACATAATGCTTGGCTTTTGTGATCACATCTACGTATGCTTCATGAATACTCTGTTCTACCAACTCTGAATCTAAGAAACCTGCACTCCAACTACTAACACTTCGAAGAACCTAAAATATATTTTTAAAAAAATTGAGGCTATTGCATCAAATAAAGTAATAAGTAGGTCACAAAAATCGCATTTTTGTAATGAATACATAAATTTTGTTACCTGACAATCTACATTGTGAATTATAGATTCATCTACTGCTTTCACATGGGGGTTTAATTGGAAATCTTGATAAGATTTAGGAAGCAAGCATGGGTACAAGTGGTTGAGTTTTGCCTTTTCCATCTATTTAAGACAAACAGAAAATAAATGATGATGTAGGGAAAAATAAATAATACAAATTTTTATGTTATGGGCTTACTTTAACAGCATTCCATCTCTGAATGAAATGCCTTGCTACATCTCTTGCTGCGGCTCCTTGAACAAGTGCGCCAATATCATGCCAAGGCATACGAGGAGTTGTTGAACGATCAATAAAATCTGACGCACAATAAAACTTTCGTGAATAAAAAGTACTTTCTTAATAAAATATGAATAAATCATACAGCATACTATACCTTGATATGGCATGTCCAAATCATTAAAATCTTTCACGATAAAATTAACATAGTCTTTACCAATCCATAACTTTGCTGACCCACTCAGCCCATCAATGAGGGGATTGCTTTTACTTTTTTTCTTTTTTACTTTCTGTTTTTCAGAGCTGCTATAAGATAAATGAAGTGAGTCTCAAGAATAAAAACCTGAGCATAAATGTTATATATGTTTCAGCTAGTAGCAGTAGTAAACAGAATATGAAGTACTTACGCAACAGCAGTGGGAGCAGGCCTTTCTCCCCCAATGAAGGCCATATTGGCATCACCCTCAAAAGCAACTTTTGCTTGTTTGTTGGCAGTCAGAGCTTGTTGTCGTGACTCATGAATGACCTCTTCATTCACAGGCGGAACAATATCATTATCATCATCATCATCATCATCATCATAATCATCATCTGCTTCATTTTCTTCTTCACTGCTATGGAAAATGTTTAAGAGGCCTCGACCTCGAGTTTTCATCTACAGCAGCACCCAGGAACCAAAACCACCACACCATTAAAAACTGTTTAAAACACAAAGAGGTGTGTATGTGTGTGGGGGGTGGGGGACCTACCTTAGTGAGAATATTTTTTCTTTGCATTTCTGGTGTGTTGCGTTTGATATTGTCTGGAACTTGTGAAATCAGTGCAAAATCTTTCTCAGATATCATAGGTTCCTGAATTTCTTGAATAGGTATTAAATTAGGGTTGGACTGTCCATCTCCTGACTTGTCACTATAGGTAGAATGCAAATAACAGTTTAAGTATGTATTACAGTATGATGAATAGAAACCACAAATTGAGTAAGACTTACATCACAGCTGCATTCATCAAACTAACACCAACAGCATTTGCAGAAACAGCTAATGACATAAGAGGTTGAATATCACCACTTGGATTGCTGGATGTTTGACTCCGTCGCAGTCCTTGCCCGGCTGATGTTGCCTGGGATATGCTTCCCAAATCGACAAGCCTGTGCCACAAATAATTATACACTCAAAATTAACATGGATGAAAAAGCAATCAATGTTAATAAATTTGTTAATTTAGCACAGGTGCGATGAAATAGATAAAATCAGGGACAGAACCTAAATGAAACACAGGGAGCATTCTTTGCTGCATTTAAAAATATTTAAAAAATAAAAATAAAAATAGGGGTTGTAAAATCTACAGAGTGGAAAGCTAAACTTTGTTGCACAGATCCATGACATTACCATTACATGACCATGACATCAAAACAAACTTACCACTTTTTCGTACAGTCCCTTATTCCACATTAAAAGGAATATGAGAGCTTTTAAGGACAAAAGAGAAATGTGTGTAAGAGGTATGAAATTGTGCCTTAAATTACGATCTAAAATTCTTTCCAAATCTATGTGATTTAGTTAATAAAAAGAAATTGAAAGAGTTGACAATAACACCGCTCCATACTTATTAGATTAATATGATTCAGTATAGATACGTTGTCAGTTTTGATGAACAATGACATATACATCTTAACTTACCTATGTTCATGGTCATCCCATCTACCATAACAAAGATCAATTCCACCAACAAAAGCGTACGTTTGATCAACAACAACCACTTTCTCATGGTGAGCCCAAAGGAACACTCCAGCTTTAGCATGGTCAGGATGTCTAAGAACCTGTCAAAAAATAAATAAAAATATAGAATTCCTGCAAAACTTTAAGAAGTTTTACTTGAGGTAAACTAATATGCCACATTCAATAACCAAACCTTTATGTTTTCATGGTGACCTTTCACTAGGCATTGTTTACTGTAGTAACTATTGATACCAAGTGCATATTGTACCTCTTTATACAAGAGAACAAATATTTTTACTCCTTGAATCTATGGAAAAATCAAAGTTAAGTAAATACAAAGAAAAAAAAAAAAAAAAAAAAACAAAAAATGCACATAACAGTAAAACAAACTATTAAATTTACAAAGTAATTGCAGTCAACTTACAGCTTTACGTTGAAGAATTTTATCAAGTCTCCAATGTTCCCCATCAATAGCTGGTCTTTTCATGTATATTTCTGGGCTTAGCCACCAATCTGCAATAAATATTTCCTCTTTTGCATTTTCCATAGCTTCAGCAACAGCCGCCATATAACTTGATCCATCAACAAACCACGCAGCCTGAGTATCCAATCGAACAGGGGCAAAAGAACCCATACGATTGCGTTGAATAAATTCATGGGCTGAAAATGTCACGAAAAAGAAAGGATTCGGTGCATACAAATACATATGATTCATAATCAATTACAATTTTACACAAGAGTTCACAGTGTGAAGATACTGTACCTTGGTTATGAGAAATATCCTTCAGAAAAGCTATCCATTCCTTACTATCTCTTCTAGTGTCACATTTAATAGCCATTTGTCTACGGGAAAAAAAGAAAGAAAGTTTTATCAATCTGAATAATAGCGAGAACAATATGCTACTTTGTCGTGTTGAGTAAACTCTATATAGCTGATCCTTTAGATTATACAAAAGACATACCTGCTATGAGTTATGACAACTAATCCTCTGTGAAGCCCAGAAGTGTAAACCCCAGAAGATACTTCAAAACCTGAGTCAATAAGAATGACAGATCGCACTCGTCCATCTTTTGGACTGATGTAACATAAAAAGGAGTCCTTACACACCAGCCAACGGTCCCGCCACCTCCCACACACGTCAGTACATAAGTAACTGCACCTGAAAAGAGCAATATTTTTTTTTCACAACTGAGTAGTAAACACTAATACATTGAAAAAAAAACGACAACATACCTCACACAAACAACTGTGTCTAAGAGCCCACAACAGTTGCATCCTGCTCTGCCTGGCTGAGTACTTCCAGTGCGTTTCTTAACAAGAGACTCTTTCCCCTTTACTCCCAGCTCTTTTACAAATGACAAAGAACTTACTTCCAAAAAGTTAGCCTGAAAATTTTGGACAAAATAGAAATATCTATTTTAATGGTAACTTGCACAGAAATTTCATAATAGTTTAATATGGTATTCTGTTTTACAGTTTCATGATGGTTGCGATAGATATTTATTCTGAGCAGGTTTCTTAAGTAATCAGTGAGCTCCAGCATCCGCCTTTCAATTTGATCATATCTAAGCAAAGCATCAGGTTTGCTTGGAAATCTGAAAATTATTATGTTGAAGGAAGATCAAAAAAAAGAAGACTACACAATTATATCACCTCTAGAATCTTCTCCTGTACCTTGGTAGAGAGCTTTTTGATTTTCCTTTGGTGCCATGTTTGAAGCTTGCTCTTCTTTCTCTATGAGTTTTAGTTGGAAACGGAATCTTTAAGGTTGCCCTACAAAATATAAATGTAAGTAATTTAGTTAACTTCATCATCATGTAAAATTAGAGTGGATATAGAGGAAAAATACCGGAAAATTTTTAGCTGACTGTGAAGGTGGTGAAAATGCTTGTACCGCTTTTGAACTGTCCAAGTAAAGTCACCATGCTGGAATTGTATAGTGTACCTATATCAAACCAAAGAGCAAAATTGAGGCTAAAAATAAAAATTTAGTAATAACAAAAACCCTGAAGGGCAGCATAACATAATATCTTACAGGTTTGGGTTTAAAAGATGGGTGGTCACAGTCCTTTCATTATTTATAATATCAACAGCAATCTCTTTGCCAGGAATAAAAACAATTCTTTGAGGTGATTTAAATTTCAAAGGAGTATCATACAAAGATTGAAATGGAAGTGCTTGCAAAGCTAGAAGTCAGGATGGATAAAAATGTTTTTATTTTAACACCTTACATTTTAAAGTAAAACTCTCATTATGTGAAGAAGACACCACTCACAAGAAATTGTATCCACACCATCTGACGATGTGACTGTCATTTCACCTCCTTCAGCTGATGTAATTAAAGATTCTTCGGGAATAGCTAATTCTTCATCATAGTCAGAATCGCCATCTCCATCAGTTTTCGGATCAACTTTGTCGCCCATTTTTGCTTCCTAGAGAGGTCAAAAAGCCATACTCATACTTTTAGTCCGACATATTACACTCTCAATAAATCAAAAGATTGGTTGTTTGCAGCACATTAAATTTTTAATCTAAGTAATAAAACAACCTGTTGATTGGTGTCCAATTGTTAAAATATCAGTACACAGGTTGCCAAATGAAACACAAGCATTGCAAATGAATCCAAATGAACCTAGCTATAGAAATAGTTAAAAGACTCATGTTAGCTACCTAATTTCCCTTAACTGGTATAAATAGAACAGCTGAAAAAGTTACAGTACACAAAAACAAAGGTACAGTCAAAAAACTATAAAATAAATTGAGGCATGCTAATGTAATGACAGCTGTGCAAAAAAGGTTTCTATAACGCGATTTTTAGTTCATCGCTTTGTGATCAAACCTTGACACTTGGCAATGAAAGGATGTCAATCTCGACGTCTGCAACTAGGTATTTTGGAAACCCTGACAGCACACACAGAGCCTCCAACCCTCACTTCAATCAATCACTTTCAGTTCAAAATTTATATTCATCGTGATTGATCGTATATAAACCATAAAACAAAGCCAAGAACTTTAAAAATAATAATGTAATTGACGAACCGTTCAGCCCCAGCACACCCTTTTGGAACGGATTGTACACGCGCCGCGTCAGGCCGCGCCCGCGCCCGACCTACTCCCCCGCCTCTCCTCCCCTCCTCCACTCCCTTTCGACCTGATTGTTGAATGGAAGAAGGCAGTGCCGGTGAAACCAGCCCGTAACGTTCCGAAGAACACTGAGTGGGAGCCTCGGAAATCAAGACTGTTCAATATTTCTCGCACAAAAACCCAAGTAATGCAGTGCGTTCAAATTGGGAACTCAAATCACGGATGTATTTATGCACAAAAATAGTATTCAAACAGTATAAAAAAAGAAGCCTAACCTCCTTTCAGACCTGCTCGTACGGCGCGAAGCCGCGGCAGTTTGATGCTTCTAGACGTTCTCATGGAGATATCTGGGGGAAAAGGTTAAAACTTTGCATATGATAGGCTGTTCTTAGTCTAAGACATCATTTTTCAATAGACTATTAATGATAAAGATTCGAGAGTAATTCAAAACTAATCAAAATTGCTGTATTGTTGTGTCGTCTGCTCCCCACTCAGCAGCCACTCAGATTGGAAGCTCGTCTAGTGTAGTGTAGTGAGCGGCTAATTCAAGTTTTTTGTTTGGTTTTGGCCTCTTCTCTTATTTTATTCCTTTTGTCACATCCATCTATTGATTAATTCTGCGTTATGAATCAATTAGGATTCTCGAGTCGGTTAGTCCGTCAGTTTTCTTCGGGGTTACGGTGAGCAAATCAGTTTGATGTGAAAGCAGGGTTATGTCTAGTTCTTCCCTATAAGAATCTGTATTTTGTAGGCCTTCCCTTGTTGGACGAGATATAATCGATTTGAGAACTATACATGAAAATGAATTGAAGTTTCTGATTTGGACAGCACTTGATGTTAAAGGGAGAGTGAAAGCACAAACAGGGAGTAATATACTAAATAGGAAGCAGATAACATTATTAATGAGTGCACCTGAACCCTTTACTCAAGCTGTAGCAGGCCAAGCTGCTTTTAGTATAGGAGGTGGTCTGTCAACAATAATTGATAAATCCATTGAAAATTTGGATCAGCGATCCATTGATGATTTAGGGAGGTTGGTTGCAATAAAATTACATGTCTCAAATCAAGATAAAAAAGAAATTATAGAATAACTTGTGTCAGTCTAAATTTAACAGAGCGTTATCAGCAGCTTCAGATGTCATTCTAGTTCATTCTAGCAATCACAGCTTCATCTCAAAGCTAGCAGATGGGGCAACCGTCCCAACAGTGGCTTGGCGCTCTGAGAAGTTTGCCATACTTCAAGCATTGGCTGATACAATGACAATTCAAGAACATTTTAATATTTTAAGTCCCTTAACATTGAGCTGGGTTGGCCCACCTACTGCTCTATTTAATTCCTACTTACACATAATGCCTAAAATGAAAACCAATCTCAGATTTTGCTGTAATGATCCTGATGTAAGTACAAAATTATTTTGATTTTGGGTCTTTTGAATTTATTTGCATTTCTTTCATAATCAAGAGACCTTTCAAACTACAGAGCAGCTGTCACACTTCACCGGCCATGATGGAGGAAGGTATCAAAAATGCTATTAAAAGTAAAACCAACTTTCATGAATGCTTAAACGCTGCTGAGGCTGTTTACCGCACTGATGTAATAGTGACAACTGGCCATGACATCCCATCACTTTCCCTGAAGAAAAAGGTAGTAAAAAACAATACTCATAAATTGTGCTACATTTTCACATGACTTTTCTTTTTATAACAGGATGTGGATGAGGCATCTTTAGAATACCTCTTGCTTCATGACCTTCCCCGTGGAAAGTCAGAGATATCAGAGGAATTATTCCGATCAAAGCACTCAGCCATTTGGAAATCAAGGGAAAATGTTGCATGTGTTGCTATGGTGAGAAATAAAATAAATATATCAAATATTACGTAACTCACCCCTAATTATGGTTCATCTTATAAAATGTAATGTTACAAATGAATGATGTTATTTTTTTTTCCAGGCTGTTTTGATTACTTTAACACAGGATTACAACCCATTTATATCAGAGCCTAAATGGGAGATTGAATGAGATAATTCACAATTATGTGTTTCTATCTAAATCCCCTTTAATCTCTGCTTCTCATGTTTTAGATACAAATATACAAAGAAATTGCCATGAAACTTGTAAGAGCCTCCATTTACACAAATAAAAGATCAACCAAAACAGATCATAAAATTGTGTATAATTTTAGATTAATGATTATTGGTCATCATGAGAAATTTTGAACAATAGAATTACAGCAGCAACAATTTATCACTAGATAACTAACAAGTAGGGACACGAATACACCTACCTACTACAAGACTTTCTTATGAAACTTATGTCACTAATTCGAGACATGACAATAATAGACCCCTTGTAGACGCAAAGAAAGTAGAGTAGTTAAAAAGACATTGGAAAAAAACACATTATAACATCAAATAAAAACAGATATAAAAACTTAAAGATACTATAGTGATGGCTAGGTATTGATAGATGTTCATTGATTGCTACTTTGAACATTGACTGTCAGTAACAACTTGCTGTACACATTTCAAAAGTAAAAGTATCTTGGTTTGTCAGAAAGCAACACTAGAGCATCAAACTTTAACAACAAACCAAAACAAATAATTAAACTTTGTAAAATCAGCATTACTAGCAAATAAAGCTGATACAATATTGGATTTGTCTAACAATTCTTGACACTTAACAATAAATTAACTAACTTGTTCTCCTTGCAGGAGATGACAAATTGATCACAGGATGGCCATTAAAACTCAGGTTCTTACCTTCCGAGAAGACTTTTTTCTCTTTGAAGTTCTTAAAGGTCTCTGTAAGAAAAAAACACAGGGAAAGTAATTACATTTAAGAAAAGTGACATGCAGTTTTTCTATAAAAGTGATGTTGGACTCCCTCTCATTAAAAATAATTCCACGCAACATCAAGAATTGGTAACGCACTAATTCTGACTGGGACTGACTCCAGAATTTAGAGGAATAACAGTATAGAATATATCTCAAATATTTTAATGCATCTTTTGAACTTTCTTAGATATGGATAGATGGTATACTAAAGGATCAGACCATCAACTAAGTAGGAACTTAATTCATTACGCTAAGAAGATATTCCCACTATAACACACCACTCAGGAGCAAGGAATTTTAATGTGAAGTAGCTTTAAAGATTGGTTCACTTTTGTTTTGTTGAGGGTGCTCGCTTTTAAACTACTACACTACACTACAATCCTCTGAAAAGCACAAAATCAAAATCAAAAATGAGTGCTAGCAATTATGTGTTTCAGCACAAACTCTTATTTGTCAGTGTCAGTAAAAATGTTTAAATAAAAATTGCTAAAAACTGCGACTAAAACCTATTTCATGGGTGAGATACTTTACTGTGATTTTTCTTTTATGAAATCAAATCTAAAGTTAACTTTTAAATTAAATTATAGTTTAGAGCTATTTGTACAGATTATGGCTTACCTCCTTGGAAATTCAAGCATACTGTAATGTGCATGGTCATCTAGCTTTCAACACAAATTTTTAAAAAAAGTTGAATATGGGTAAAATGTGGTAGGTATTGATGAAATGCTTTGACTTTTAGCAATCACTTTTGGAAGTTTATTTTTTTTACATAGATATTAACAATGAGTGTCTCTAAATCAAAGACAACATAACATTGTTAATACAATGGAAGAGGTTGAGTTTTGAGTTTAACACTCAAGTTAAAATATGACCTATTCAAAGTAAACTGCACTTCTACTGGTTGTCAAACTTATGAATTTCACTTTGCACAAATCCTATTGTGTAAATGTCAACTAGACTTTAAGTGTAGCTAACTTCACAACATGGCCCACTTTAATGAAGGAAAATAAAGGCCAGTGACAATCTTCATTCATTGATAGACTGTACAAAATTACTGACCGACCACCCACTTTAAATTATAGTAAGTAATACAAGACAGATGTCATTAAGCATTAATGAGGGAGCTCAGAAATATGGTCTCAAATTTGGTCTGAAATACGCGAAATTTGGAAGACAAATTTCAACTCATTGCAATTTGGCACGTACAAATTCTTAATACCTGGGCTGTACTTTCCAGAGGATGAATCTAATCTAGAATATTTCACAATGCATATTAAGCTAAGCGTGAAATTTTTTTATCTTCTTTCATATTTAGTTGTTACACACATGTTTATGTGGATTTTGTAATTTTGTCCAATTAGTTTGTTCTTATTGTCCTCTCCCACATACACTGTAGAATCAAATCATTATTGACAAACACTAAACAGTAGTTTACACACTTGGTGAGAAATAGGGTACCGTATGTCCAATAGTCCCAGGCAAAGTAAGAAGGTTCATAGAAAAGTGCATATTATTGTCAAATGCACATTGATGTGGTTTTCATGATCTGGTACATTCCTCAAATTCTTCATAACTTTGCCAGTTATCTGAGTAAGACAGATAGATGTCACCTTTTCCCCTCTATGGCTAATACTAAAACCAGATTGATTACACTATAAATCCCTGTGTTATAGTACTATACAAGATATAACTATGGTACAAGAAAACACCACCAGTAATAATAAAGACAGAAAACTAAGAGTAAAATTTCATGAATGTTTAGGTCCATTCATCTGTATATATGCCAGATAAATAATCTTATCACAGAAGAAAGTAAACAACTCACTGAATATGGTCACTAAATACGTAATACTGATAATAATTGTGGCACAAGATTGACACTTTTATCACTTTCAACATAATTGAAACTCATCAGGCAACATGATATGTAAGCCTACAGCAAACAGTGCTCTGATTTCACAGTATACTTGCAATTTCATACTGTAATTTGAGGTCACTTGGCACATCCATGCTATTTTTAAAGATAAAATAGGATTGGTGCACAATTTTAAAAAATAGATTTTTTGTGATTGTGGGTTTTAGAAAGTGTCAGCTAATTGTTGAACAAGCATCGGTTGCTTTCAACACTTTGAGTGCTGCATTCACCAACACTGCGATGTCCTCCAACAATCTAACACATCAGAGGTAAATCAAGTAAGAGTAATACCAAATGGAGCAAATGTATACTCACATGATCTACCCTTCACATATTTTAGGTTAAACATTTTACCCCAGCCAATGAGGTTGAATAACAATCTGACTTGATTAGGAAATGAAGTGCATTCTAAACAGGAAACTGATAATGTTTTACTTGGTCTAAAAACAGACTGTCTGCATCTGAAAGTAGTGTTTTTGATCGGGCAGGTATGGCCTAAAATTTTAGCCCGCATAAAGCTGTTTTAGATGGAGTCGGGCTAAAATTTTCTGTCCTAACCGCCCAATTGAAAACACTATCTGAAAGCAACACTAAAGGGCTGTGAAAGCACGAGTGCAAATAGTGGCACAATGCAACACCTACACTGTGGTTTCTTTATCACTTATCACGAGGATTCCATCATCAGTAATTTTTATTTCAACTTTAGACTCATTTTCAGACTCAGATTTGCCGTCATCAACAGATCTGAAGTGCTTTGTGCTTTTTGGTGATGGCATGCTTGCCAAACTCACCTTACGTCCATCCAAACAATCACGGCTTGTGGACTTAGAGATGACTTTTGAAAGATTCATGGCTGACCTTTTCATATTTTCTTCATTAAGGCATAGCTCATGCCCTTCTCCTACACTTCCAAACTCAGCACCCAAAAATTCTGCCATTTTAGAGATATTTTCATGAGATTTTACTTTGAAGTTTACAACTCTCCCACTTCTTTTAGGAGTTGAAGGATCACAACTAAAATGACGAATTCCACCACTCCTGTTACTAATTAGTTCAGACTGTCGTTGATACTTACTTTACATCCAAGTATGCAGCATAAACACAATAATATTAGATGGACAAATTCTAACCACAATTTGTGTAATTTTTAAAATTCTGAATAGTAAATCCTCTTTACTACTTGGACCAATTTAAAAAAATACATTTTTTACTCACTTATCATTGGTTGTTGAATTAGATCCGTCCACATAGAGTTGATTCTGATCTATGTACTTCATAACCGAATCAGGAACCAAGTATTTGATGCTGTCACCTCTTCGATGCGCTCGTCTAACTTTAGTTGAGCTCACTTCATTGCTAATCCATTCCGTAACAATAAAGATATTGCTCTTAAATGGTTAAAAACAAAGAGAAAAGAATGATTAATTAAAAAAACACGGGCATTTTCAAATCAACTATATTTGCCAATGTGAAGTAAACCTTACCATATGCTTAGTGAGCACATCAGATTCATAAATAAATCTGTAAGGATTGGTCCCTTCTCTTGTGATTACTACTAAGCCATGCTGACTCACAATGGTTTCTATCTGGAAATGCATTCATTCACAAACTCTTAGGACTAGAACCAATTACTTGAATCAATAATTATGATAAACTTTATAAGAAACTTACATCTTTAATATTCCACAGCCCTGGCTTAGCAAATGATTCCAGAACATCTGCACCACAAAGAAGCATTACTTTCACTGGTCCCTCATTACATGAGCCATCTAATTTATCAGGGATCCAATCATTGAAATTTTCTTGTCCAACATCATCAGTTTCATCAATTCCGAGGAACTTCTTTTGGCGTTTATGAGGAGAGTTGCAATTAGCATTCAAAGTAGAATTCAATTGGTTCTATGAATTGACAAAAGAAAGGCAACAGGATTTCACTCAACATATCTTTTAGATCTTATAATCTTATTTACCGGTTTATACAAAAATACTGCCTACCTGGTGGTACTGTAAAACCTGACGAGTTCTTGTCCAGCCCGATTGTTTACATTCCCATTCTGACAGTCTTACCCAATCATGATCTGCTAATGCTGTAGTGGGGAAAAGACGCAATCATTAGTCAAAGTAATCAAATTTACAAAGCTACACCAAAGCTACATTACCTAGCCTGAGCATGCTGCAACGATGTCCAGATGATACTAAATCTTGCTTCTCGTAGGCGTCGTGTACCGGAGACATGACACCACCAATCACTTTAGACTGGCCTAGCCGCTCAAGATGGTCACGGGCAATTTCTGTAAAGTTCAGAAGAAACAATTACAAAAAGCGGTCAGGAAAGGTGACAACAAACTTAATACATCTTAGACAACGAGTCTAACAATATAACAACTTTAAGAACTACTTCAATTTTAGTTCAGTAACTTACCAAACATTCTCAAGTGCATGATTGTTGGTGGGTTGAAGGAACCACACGCTACAAGAAGAACATCTTTCGGAGCCATTGTAGCAATAATAGATACTATTACCAATCTTCAAAATGTCTGAGGGCACCAATGAACCTTCGGAAATTAACATTCAAAACAAAAATGTAAATGAAGGGGAATACAAGGAAGTTGGTTAAATATCTCTTAAAAGCAGATGTATTCAGAATCCTCCAGACAAGATACAAAAAAAGGTTTTCCTTACCTTGCTGAACTAATGGTTAAAGCGCTGATCACAGACAGAATAGGTGCGCAATTCGTTCCCTAACTATTGTCATCCATGTCCCTGTTTGGAACTCACGTACTATCCGTTCAAGTTTCAAGTCTGTTTCAAGTCAGCTGTCGCATAGAATACCATGGGGTTATGGTGATTTCGATTTCGAATCGATAAATACGTCTCCATTTCACACCAACTTGAACACGTAAAATCCTTCCAAAAACTCTATAATAGCAATCAAAGCAATGCCAGGCCACTCACAATATATTAGATTTTTATTAAAAGATAGTTAAGAGTTAACTAAAAATTAGAGGTAGTAAAAAGGGCTGTGCCAAAAATATTTGCTTAATCTTTTGAACGAGTTCATTCCTGCAGGGTGGCAACAACTTTGTGTTGTAGCATTGCGCTGCGCCAATGGGAGGAGTCGGGTGAAGGAGTTGTACTTCCTACTGTAAACTAACTACACTCGTTCACACCCTTTCAGTTCGTCTGCTGTGGTCTGCTGTTTCACATCCGTCCGTCTGTCTGCAAGGAAAGGAGTGAGCTTAGTACCCAGAAAGTAACAAATAACGGGATCAACGGGATCCGCTGATAACATCAGTATCAGTGGGCGTTGTACTTTCGGAAACCTTCTTTTGAACAGTCCTGGTTACTTTCAGGTGAGATTTGCGTAGTAATACATCACATGACGTAATTCTTACATGAGACTTGCGCACATATTTACTTTGTGATACCGGTGTGTTTGATTAAGACTTTTTCTTGCGTTGTTTTTTCTCACAGACTTAAAGAAAGATGGTTATTCCTCACTTACCTGCGATTGGTGCTGTGGTCCTTCCCAACGTTGGAGGATGGGTGAGCAGTTATTACAACCGTGAAAGTATCAAGACCTGGTATGAGGTAAGAAAATAAAGCAATCTAGTTCTTTTTCTACTTAAAATTATTATCTAGGATCACTTTTAGTTTTCCACTTCAGCAGCGTGTTATGCACTTGTCACAGCAGTCACAGTTCATCTAATCACTTCACCGTAAGATTCTAAGTATACTTTTGGTTATCTCGATATGTCTTTTGTTTGCAGACACTCAAACGTCCAGATTGGCGCCCACCCAACAAAGCTTTTGGACCAGTATGGACTAGCCTTTATTGTGGGATGGGCTATGCCTCCTACCTGGTGTGGAAGCATGGTGATGGTTTCAGTGGTATGCTATCATAATTTAGGTGAAGTAATCAACTTATTTCTTTAAAAAGGAATTTATGAATATATTTCTTAATTTTATTTCTTAGGGATTGCAAAGGGACCTTTAATTTTATACTCTACTCAATTAGCCCTCAACTGGGCCTGGTCACCGATTTTCTTTGGAGCTCATGAGTTAAAATGGGTAAGTCAGTGTTAGAGAAAACTTACCCAGCCAAAAATATCACATCTAAGGTGACCATTTTTGTGTCTAAGAGGACCATTTAGATGTTTAAATGGTCCCCTTAGACATCTATAAGACATGGCATATCTGACTGGGTGCCTACAATGTGTTACATTTTCAATGTTACATTTCCTTCTCTAATGGACTTGTTTCTCTCCTTTTCAGTCTCTTGTAGAGATAGCAGTTTTGGACATCAATGTGGCTTTGTGTGCATTTGCATTTTATAATGTTCACAAACCTGCTGGTCTCTTAATGTTACCATACTTAGCTTGGCTGGGCTTAGCAACTGCCCTAAATTATGTCATCTACAGAGATAACAAAGCTCTCCCAAAAGAAAAGTGAATCCAATTTGTCGATGTGCTGAGTTACACTTGGTGAAAGTATATCAGGTGATCTTTATAAGGTGTCAGTGCATTTAGTGATCAAGACTGTTTGAATTATATTAAATATATTTAAACCACTTCTCGTTATCTTTACTTGCTGGTCTTGCTAGTATCTGTGTTCTAATAATAAAAATAAATAAGGAATTTCCCTCTCAGATTAAGTTGAAAAAAACTCACAATGGGTCTTGTTTTTTGTGGTGTTTTTTTTGCACATGGCTTGTACGTACATCACTGCTTAAACAGTACTGTATAGACATTGTAAAGTAGATGCACAGTGATGAATTACACAACTGAATCCTTATGAAAAAAAGAGACCCAGGCTTGAGGAAAAATTGTCAAATTCAAACCTTGTCTAGTGATCTTCTAATTGTCTAAGATAATTTGACAATTTAATTATCATATTACAGAAATGAATTAAAGTCCATGATATCACAATTTTGATCTTGATAAACCAGAAATTTGGCACACTCATTCATGTTGGTTGCCACGAAAACAAGTTTTTGAATATTTCCCAAATTAAACTTAAAATAAGAAACAAGAATTAAACACCCAATATATTAAATAATGATTGGATGGAGTGGAGGAAAGGAAAACATCCCATTTGCCCTGAAAAGGTCACATGGAAATTACCAAAAAGTACTTAGAAATTTGGAAAAGACTTGTTGAAATTGTGGAATTATACAAAGTATTGCTACTTCAAGAATATTACCAGGACTCTCAATTTTTTTTAAAGCGGTGGAGGTCGGAGTGGTACTACAATTACGTTTTTTAAGGGTAAATTTAGAACTCTTAACACAGGTATTATCAGAGTACAATAAGAAGTATTTATACTAGATCACAGCTAGGCACGCCAGCTAAGAAATTATTAGTCATGTAACATAGAAGCACTACTGACCCTTACTAAATTTACATCCATTTGCGTTGGACATAGTTTGTCAAAGAGTATGTGTTCCAGTAAGAGAGTTTGACAACAAGAATATGCAGCCTTCAAAATTTAGGAGTACTAAGAGATGTTATCAGGCTGAATGCTTTATCATCAGCTTAAAGAATACTGGTCATAATTAACTCTATGTCGTACTTTATATAGAACAGACCAAGTGCCTGGGATGTGATGTTTGATGTAAAATTTGTTGGCACAAGGCAGTTATATTGACAAGTCTTAACATGAAGTATACAATACATACAAACATTCATACACACATACATACATACATAGCAAGTAGAGATGGACTAAAAGATAACAAACCTAAAATATAAGTATATTGTGCAAAAGTTTACTAAACTTAACTTATGATACTAAGATAACATATCAGATCTTAAAAGTAATACTGTGCAGCCTCCAGTCATGGGTAAGGAAAGAAGAACTAATCCCAATGTTCAATTTGGTCAATTAAAGAGAAGTTGGCATGCTGTTGTCAAACTTTAAAGAATGAAGGGTAAATAAGAAAAGCAAATAACTGAACAGTAAGAAGTTCAAACAAAATGGTAATATGATAAAACCTGAAAATTTAAGCATTAGCATTCGGATGAGCCGAGGAATTCCCTGACTAGAACTGACAAGTAATTCTTCTGCTGTGAAAAATATGCATTATCTTAAATTTTGATAGCAAGAAAAGGAAGCTTTAAAATTTACACATAATTTGCCTCTCCAGGGCCATCAAATTAACTTCCACAAAGAATATTTGACAATTACTGTTGCAATCCAAATTGATTATTAGACAATCAAATAAACCAACTGTAATCACAATGTCTTTACCAAACTCTTTAAATTCAAGTCAAAGAATTTTCAATATGAACCTACCACAAATTGCAGCAACGCACACAATTCATCCGAGGCGGTAGGTTATGACTCATGAATGCCATCTTGACTTCTGCAATTCGATTTGCCCCTCTAAAGTTTTCGCTAAATATATCACCAACAACTGCAAAATAGAAATTTTAAGTGTAGTTAAAACAATGACCACATCACAGCCAACGTATGTTACGAGCAAGATTAACATTATAATATTTTCTACTTAGGCAAATTCTTTTTTCAGCCATTGTTCCATAAGCCAATAAAGACAAACGCCCTTCTCAAATCTCTTATAGTTGCCAGTGAATGATGTAATTGAAATGAGTTTATTATGCGTACCTGTGATAATGCAACACCAAGAGCAACACCAGCAATAAAGTACAAATTTCTCTCTGCCCAAGCTCTCACCACTTCTATACAACCACTAGCCCAAACAAGGTTGCTTGCTTCAGCCACCTGTAAATCACACTGAATTTTAGAGACTTTCTACATTAAAAAAAAAAAAAAAAACAGAAAAAAAAAATATACTACTCCTATACTTACAGGTCGATTTTGAACTCCATATCCACACATGATATTCACCAGCCCACTCTAAACAAAACAACATTTAAAAAAAATCAAATGTTATCAATAGTTTAAGAAAGTTATAAAAAGAAAAAGAATTTTGGGAATTTAATTATAAGAGACTTGCCGAGATATCTGTAGCATTTATACAGCAACTGTAGGGCACAGCACATCTCTCAACACTAGGAGAACTGCAGTTGAAATACTCATTTTTGGACCAGTCCATGTAACCTTCAGAGCTCAAGCCACAGCAACGGAACTGTTGGAAAATAACTAAAGTAAGTAAAGTGGACAGACAGCTGTTATGTTTCAGTTGAAAAGTTTTAAAAGTACCTCTTGCTGAGCGAAATCTATGAAATTCTTAAGGTCATCATCTTCTCTATACATGTGAATTATTTTATCAGAGAGAGTTTCCTCTAGTAATGACTGCATTGTATGGGGGAATACAAATCCCATAATGGCTACCGCCATTTCTAACAAGAAGAACACTAAAAGGCACAGCGAATACTGAAAGTAAAAATAAAATTAATGTTACTAATGCACCTAAAAACCACATTTCATTAAAATAGATCAAACTTTGGATCGAAACCAAACTTTAGTTAAACTAACCCTACACCAATGATACTTACAAACTTCAATAAGCATGTATTCTCTCGTAGTGCACCTACACACCCAGTAAAGCTGACAATGAACACCACGCCACCAGCTAATATCATAACCAGTGAAACATTAAGAATCACATCGTAAATATTCTCTACTTTAACAAATTCTTTATCCTGCCATTTATCCACAAACGCATAGAGACCGATGCCAATCAACAATCCACCAAATAGCTGAAATGAATTGACATCATTAGTAAATGAATGACAAGTCTATGGAAAATGAAACACTTCAAAAAATGTCTGGAAATCCAACAATGATAAATACCCAAAATATAAAGTTGAGAAAGAATATCATGTATTTCACACACAGGCTCACATGATTGAATTCATGCAGCCGTCGTCCAGGTGGCCGATTCATGTTTGATCGTACCAAGGGTGCTTGTGCCTGCGGTGACAGCTTTGAACGAGTACCAGGCACCAGCAGAACTGACAATAACCTACTACGGAGAACACTCCGAAACTCGGCCGAAAAATAGTGGCTACCCAATCACGAGATAACAACAGAATTATTACATCGTTAGCTGAATAACAAGAAGTACTTTGATTCGATCATCGTTCATAAAATTAAACAAAGGAGAATACAACAGCGAGATTGCAGATGGATGTATGTAAACACAGACGACAGGAAACTGGAGTACAGTACGTCCGTTCTAGTTTTCGTTCAGGGTCCCTTCTAGCACAGGTCACATGTGGTCACCTCTACGTGTTTACGGGAGAAGTTTTCAACGAACTCTTAGTTTTTAAGAGCTCTCTTAATCAAAGAAAAGCACTAAAATATTATTATCCGGTCCACAGAGTAGAAATAAATTGATACGTCTTCCCTTCGGATATATAACGGGGTGTGGAAGTGGAGGGAAGACGACCTTGAAAGGTCAGGGGTAAGCTTAAATAGTACTGGAATCAAACACTCTTCTGCCACTTGTTCGGGAGCTCAGCCGGCTGTTATCACGTCAGACGTCAGTGTCAAGTTCATCAATTTCCTTCATCATGTCACCGTCTTGGTTTTCTTGCGTCCAGCTCGGCCCTCCTATTGAAGTCTTCGCTCTGAATAAGTCATATTTAGATGACAATCATCCGAAGAAAGTAAACCTTGGTGTTGGAGGTATGGATTTTACTACTGTAGATTGATCGGCACCGGATGTATTTGATTTGGGTGTTTTAGAAAAGTAATCCCGACAAGACTGTTCATATAAGTAGTTTAGGTATTTTGTTACCACTCTATTTCCTGTGATCTGACAGGCTGTTGACTTTGCAATCATGATTGTGTGTCTTGACCCTTGCCGAAAGATAGTTCAAGGTTCACTTGTTTGTTTACTTGGATGTTCAGCCTGGGGTCAAATTGTGATAAGATCTTTCTCTGGGAGTTTACTTATACTAATCTATGTCCTATACTTTATTTCAGCTTATCGCACTAATGAAGGAAAACCATGGGTTTTGCCCGTTGTCCGGAAAACTGAACAGCAAATGGCAGCTAATGAAGAGTTGAACCATGAATACTTACCTGTCCTTGGGTTGGACACTTTTACATCAGCAGCTACTAAAATGCTCCTTGGCTCTGACAGTCCAGCTTGGACCGAGGGGAGGGCATTTGGAATTCAATCATTGAGTGGTACAGGAGCACTGAAGATTGGTGCCGACTTTCTTCATAAGCACCTGAAGCTGACAACTTTCTATTACTCAACTCCAACATGGGGTAAGGGCACATATTAATCTTTCCCGACAGTGTTCTGAGGTAGTTGTGGCAACCTCATGCTTTTTGTGTGATAGAACCTTTCCACATAGCATGTCACTCAATACTGAATGTAATGTGTTTTACTAATCATCTTATGTTTATTTCAGAGAACCATGGACTCATTTTTACCAATGCTGGGTTCACTGAGCCCCGCCAGTATCGATACTGGAATCCTGCAACAAAGAGTATTGATTTTGATGGCATGCTAGAAGATTTAAGAAATGCTCCCAAGGGATCAGTCATCATTCTGCATGCATGTGCCCACAATCCTACTGGCTGCGATCCTACTCCTGAACAATGGAAGCAGATTGCCGATGTTGTAGAGGTAAAGACGACACCTGTTTCTAGTTCTTAAATCCTTCAAACTGAATTTTGAACTAACCACATTGCTCCCACATTTTTAGGAAAAGGGCTTATTCCCCTTCTTTGATTCAGCTTACCAAGGTTTTGCTTCTGGAGACCTTGTCAGGGATGCCCATGCTGTCCGCTACTTTGTACAGCGAGGCTTTGAGCTGTTCTGCTCTCAATCATTTGCGAAGAATTTTGGACTTTACAGTAAGGTGTTGTGATATTACTTCCAATTCCAGTAGAATAGTTTAGTGTGTAAACCTGCAACCTTCCATTTCTTTTGATAGATGAGAGGGTTGGTAACTTGACTGTTGTCATGAAGAGCCAGCAGTGTATTCCTGAAGTGAAATCACAGATAACTTTGCTTATCCGAGGAAACTACTCAAACCCTCCCAACCATGGAGCACGGATTGTTTCATCTGTTCTTAACGATGATAAGCTGTACAAAGAATGGTTGGTAACATTTCTAAACTTCCTTCTGTGGCTATTAAATGCTGCTTTCTACAGTTTTGACTGTTTTACAGGGAGGACGCTATCAAAACTATGTCAAGCAGAATCCTAAGCATGCGTCAAGGTTTGAAAGAAAGATTGCAGAAGCTGCAAACTCCAGGGAATTGGGACCACATTACTAACCAGATAGGAATGTTTTCGTATACAGGCCTTTCAGGTACTAAAAAGTTACTTTTTGCTTGTCTGTATTTCGTTTTTGTTTTAAATTTTATTGAATCTAACATCCCTGATTTTTGCTCCTATTCCTTTAGAACCTCAAGTGGCTCATATGGTGAAAGAGCATCACGTTTATTTACTGAAGTCTGGACGAATCAACATTGCTGGACTGACAACAAACAACATTGACCATGTTGCCAATGCCATCCATGACAGTGTGACCAAGATACCTGCATAGAAGATTCTTACATTTTATAATTTCAAAGCCGAACAGTTTTTTATACTTGCCCTGTAACATACTTGGAAAGTCAGTACCTCCGGAATTTATTGTGGAAGCTTAAAATTTACTGTGCAATGACAATATAACATGCATAAGTAGTGGCTTCTAGAAAAGTATTGTATTGCAATTTAGTAATATCTTCATGGCAGGATCATGATTTTAATTTGTGCATTTTAATTATTCAAATTGCATTTTATTTGTATTAGCATTTATTAAATGCCAATGAATTTCCTAGTCAGCATCATTCCATGTAGGCTTGTCTTGCAACCATGTTTGAGATTAAATTTAATATTCCAAAATGAGGAGTTTGTTACAATATGCATTTTTATTGAAGACAATACTTTTAATTCCAACATCATTCAGCACAACACATTTTATCAATAAGATTGGCCCCACGTGACTAGTTTAGTTTAAGTCAACTATAATTCTTAACTTTATATTAAGTACATACGCAATACAATTAAACATATCTAATACTGTATGATAAATACCTCATTGTTTTAAAAGGGACAACTAACGCAACAGTACACTTACAGCCACCTGCATTTTAATTCACTTTCTTATTCTTAGCAAAATGGTGCTAGGAAGAAAAGTTCAAAACATTAAAATAATCACAATAAAAAGTAATTCACCACTTTAACAAAAAATGACATTTGTATTACTTCCTTCACAGAAAGCAGTGCCAGTGAATCAAGGGAGAGATCAATCTTACGACAGTTATCACATAAAGTTAAAGCAAGAGAATAAAATTGACAATCACATCAAATCATATGAAAATTTCACACAAATTTGCATTCTTAGCTTGGTAAATAATTGGTAAAAAGTGAAGAATTTCAAAATTTAAGTAATCAACCCATGCAATTTGTATTTATTTCCTAAAATTTTTGCTACTTAACATTGTAAGAAACTCTTTATTGAGGTCTGAGCGATGTGCTACATTTATCTGAATTCAAAACTTCCAAAAATGACTCCGTCTTCGCCCATACCTGATGAGTGTACTGATCTAATTCCTCCAGGCACTGCAGCAAAGATCCATCCTGTAGACAAGAAATAAATAAAAACTGTTCCATCTTAAATTAAAATTTCTAAAGCAGGAACCATATTGGAAACTTGAAGACTTACTACATCAGAACAATCAGGAAGTACAGATGCCTCTTGTGCTGGACTAGACAAAAGCCCAGTTGTATTCCCAGAATTTGGAACACTGTGATCATGATGGCAAATGCATCCGGTGGTGGGGGCTTTTTCCAAAAGGACATCCAGTAAGCTCACAAAAGTTTGCAAATTGACAGAGTTTTTAAGAGAATTCATTTTTCGTTCAAGAGTTTCAAAGGCATGCTGATATGATTTTTCCTCCTCAGGGCTGGTAGGCACAACATGATCCTGGTCTTTCCATATCATTGACACTAATTGTGCCAAATCTGAACCACTCAACTGAGATATTGATTTTTGAACCTTTTCCTTCCTTGAAGATAGTGGCACATGGTTTCTTAACAATTCAAGTTTTTCTGCAGAAGAAAATTGATTGTTTCTTTCTTCCTTTCTCTTACTGGAAACATGCTTTTCTCTCGACTTCAAGTTTGAACCACATGATTTGCATTTTCCCTCATGTATTTGTTTGGTAGAGGTAGAAATTTCAATGTTGGAAGAGAAACTTTTGGATGGCATAGAAGAATGAGAATCTGAGTGAACTTTTGAACTGGGGTGTGATTCTGAGGGTAGGTGACCAGTTGACTTGTTCTTCCCACATTCACTGGAAAGAAGGCTGCCACTGAATTCATCTGTGCACCCAGATAGTTCTCCCAAGTTTAGACAGGGAACCATTGGTGTACTCATTCTGCTGATGGTGGAGGGGAGATCAAGACTATCTCCTTCATTTACTTGTATTCCAATGCTAGAATAATTCTTTTTGTTAGCATTCTGTTCCGACACTTGGTCTTTCTGCTGCTGAACCACCATTTCAAAGCTGTTATCAGGTAACTGAGTTCGCTTTCTTGAGCTACTTTTAGAAAATGGAGAAAACTTAGGATGTGGGCGAGTTGGTGTAGGAATACTCTTCTGCCAACGCTGTACCTGCAATTAGATAGAAAAGATAAATATAGGTGATTGCTTCACTATCTAATGATAATGTTCTACAGTTTGCTTACTTTTAACATGGGATCTTCATGAGGCAGATGACCAATCGCCTTTGATGGATGATGGGTTGTAGACAAACCTTCCACACTCAAAGGACAAAAGGTGTCTATCCCCGTATCCGTAGTACCCTCCAGGATAGTGAGTTCAGGTAATCCATCATCAATAATTGGCTTATTCTCATTTGGTTCATTACACTGATCATGTGAGGATGACATAGATTGTTCGTCCACAGAAGACTTGGAATGAAGGGGGGCCATGACACGGTCCAACCGAACAGATGTACAATATAAACTTGCAATTGGGCGAAGTGGAGCACTGACTATGACCTCATTTGGTTTTCTTTCATTTTGTTTGACATTCTTCATCCCCCTTCTTATGTCAAAGCTCGAATCAGGCGAATCAAAGTCTTCAAAGTTGGATAAAAACATGGAACTTGATAGACTACAGTTATCCATTTCTGCTAAAGGAGAGGTCTGGACAAAGTGTTTCAGATTGTTATTTTTTGTCTGATTTTTTGGTGGGGAAAGAAAGGGTCTTTGAGCTGCAGATGGAGAGCTTTCATACCATCCAAACCGAAACTTGTCAATCCTATTCTCAGCCTCAGCATATTTCCCAAGAAGACGGTTATAGTCCTCTTGCAGCTTTGAGAGAAGGCGATCCTTTTCTTCTAAATCTTGTTGCATTTTCAAAAGAATGCTGCTGTCTTGAGATTCAAAGTAATCATTTTCCAGAGGTTGTTTAGGGTCATTGACAGAAGTGACTCTGTTCCTGGCACGTTCTTTTCTACGTGCGGCATCAGCGTCTTTGATATCCTGTATATAGCGTTTCACCTTACTTTCAACATGATCATAGTTCCGGCTCCCACTGCTAAGGCTCAGTAAACTTTCTGACTGAATAAAACCAGAATCCCTTGACCTATTACGTAAGCAAAGTGTAGATAAAGATGCTCCTGCTGATTTTCGTACGGGTTTCTTCAAGCCATTTGAAGGAATACTAGAAACATCATGAAGTGATTGACTTAATTTGCATTCTCTTACACTGTTCAAGTTCCTGAAGTCCAAAGCATTTTCACTTGGAGCACGTTCCCTATATAAATTTCCTCGTGTTTGGATTGCTCTCCCTGCCAAGGACTTGTTACGAGAATAAAATTGACTGCCCGAGTTTGATCTAGGGCTTGCATAAATAGTTTTAGAAGAGCTAGACAGTGACTGTAAACTTCCTGAGGCAGTAAATGGGTTTCTGTCTTCTTGATAAACAAAAGCAATATCTCCAAGTTTTGGAATGCCACCAGCCTCATCAAAATGAAAACTAGTTGCAGGAACTGGGGAGCAAGAGTTTTCTTGCATATTACCATTTTCTTGGGAATGTTCAGGAACAACTCTACAATCAGCTGATTCTGAAAAATCACTTTCTTTGGCTTCAAGGCATAAGCTGGAAATTCGAGACAGGTAGCTACCACATGATTCTGAGAAGCTTGTGGTGCTAATCCATGCTGGGTGTTCAACATCTTCAAGGGCTTCTTCATGTGAGCATGAAGTGAAAAATTCAGGACGTGAATCCACTATCAATCCTTCAGGTACACTCATTTCTCCAGGAGTACCCATCCCGTAAAAGTCGTCTCCTGCAATCAAATAGAGAAACGGTCACTGAATAAATTAATAAATGGGAAGAATTGCCGCTCACAGAAATGAACTTTTCAAACCGGGAGCAACGAAACAACAGAATCTTAGTAAAACAAACAACGCTATAACCTCGTCAACTCATGCTCAACATACTTCTCACGATTTGACAACAGATTCGTAATATTAACAGAAAGTCTTACATAGATTTTTATTGCTGAGTAGGGTACAAGCAGGGCAAACTCTGAGTAAAAGTTTCATTAATATCGGCGAGTAAATAGTTGTCTAAGGGTTTGTCTCCTTTTTCTCTTTCATATTGTTTGAAGTTGCATTTGCATTTGCATTTGTGTTACGACGTTTTGAAAATATCACGACCCCTTAGATAGACACACCTGCAGCTGCAGCTCGCACAGCTGGCATGACAACGGTGAATTATAGGACGATTGTTAATGTTCTTGGTCGAGAAATGATTCATGGGATATAATAGTTGCAGTTATTTTACCTAACCCCGGCTTCATGGCGAATCTCTTTGAATAAAGTCTGGAAAAGTGTAAGGTTGGATATACTGCAAAGCCTACTTCAAATGTTGGCTACTTCCGAAAATGCTATTGTATGGTGTATTTCTTTCTCACTCTAATGCAAGCTTTGAGTTTGGTGGCCACGTCCGAATAAACGGTAGGTTTTCCTTGTTTTGTAGTCTTAGCAATAAACAGTGTCAACTGAGTCACAGCACAGCTCCACAATCATCACAATGGATCCTGATATTCTTTCAACATTTAAAATACTTATCATCGGTGAAAGTTCTGTTGGGAAAACAAGGTAGTTCTCTTGCCCTCGACCAGTTTGTTTTCAAACATTAGTTAATATGACGAATTTTCTGTCAACTAGAAAACTTAACTGTCCTCGGATAGTCATGTATATCATCTTCATGGTCGTACCTCTTTACGACGCAGTATCCAAATTTGCATTAGTTTCCCCCCGATTCATTTTTCTACTTGTTTGTAACATTTGATTACTGTTATGCAGTTTGTTTTTTATTACATGGCATTCCTTATGAAGCCTCTTGGTTAGGATTCTATCTTGATACTTTTTGGTTTTCCATCATTCTGACGTTCATGAACTATAATTAAAAAAAAAGTCGGCAGTTAAATTTACCTTTTCATTATTTTTAAGTATTGTTTGATGTTATTTTATAGAGCTATTGTCTGTTCAGAATCAGTGCAACTCTTGTTGTGTTTTATGATGAAAGAAACATCATCCATAAAGGGGGATTTATGATTAGAACTCAGCGAGCGTATCTTGAACGCTTGCGTTGAATTAATGCTGGTGTTGTGGTCAGAACAGGGTGAGGGGGGAGTGGAAGAGGACCTTACGAGTGTTGTTTTAACGCTAGCAGCACAACTACGCTAGCAGCACAACTACGCTTGCTGCGTTGCAATTGTAAATCCACCTTAACACATTGAGGCTGATTTGAATGTCCCATAAATTAACAAATGTCATATGAAATGATATGTTGTAGGGTTGTACGAACAACTTTTTTCTTTTTTCAGTTTACTTCTACGATTTATAAATGACAGTTTTGATAGTAATGTGTCAGCAACTATCGGAGTGGACTTTAAGACAAAGAAGGTCACAGTTGACGGAAATACAGTCAAACTAGCTATATGGGTAAGTCTTACACAAAGTGTATTTTACAAATATCTTGCTTTTCTGTTGAAATTTCTTTGCATGCTACCACCCCCACCTAAAATAAGCTAACTATGTTTAATTTTTTGACAGGACACAGCCGGAGTTGAGAGATTTCGGACCTTAACACCCAGCTATTATAGAAATGCTCAAGGAGCAATTGTTGTTTATGATGTATGTAGGAGAGAAACCTTCAATAAAATGCAAACATGGCTAGATGAGCTTGATACCTACACCACAAAGAGGAACATAGTGAAAATGATTGTTGGAAACAAAATTGACCAGGTGATAGCCCTAATAAAATTAAAGAAACCTGGAAAGAATACATTGAAATCGCCTACACTGAGGAATCTAAGATCTGGTGAATAGTTTAACCTTTGTGATTTTCTTGCTTTCAGGATTCAAGACAGGTAACGAGAGAAGAAGGAATAAAATTTGCTAAGAGGCATGCTGCGTTATACATTGAATCAAGTGCCAAAACTCGTGATGGAGTAGAGTGTGCATTTGAAGAACTTGTTCAAAAGGTTAGTAAATATTTATTTTATTTAGACTCTTCTCATATCCATCTATCCTGTGAGTAATTATTTTTTAACTGTGTCTTCATTTTTGTTCTTTTTTTTTTTTTTTTCAGATTATACAAACTCCAGGCTTATGGGAGGCATCTGTCAATCAGACAGGAACCATTTCAATAACTCAAGGTAATGATGCTGGATACTTGCCCAAATCATGTACTGGTTGGTCCTGCTCTTTGAATTAATCTAATATTTTGAAGTAAATTTTAAGACTTTATTCTGGAACTCTTAAATGTAAATAGATCATATTTTGTATAGTGCTTCATTGTGCTTAGACTTAACTAGGAAAATATCACTGTTTTAAATGTCTGCAGAAAAGAAGGATCAATTCACATGCTACCAAGCAATATTGTCTTGGCAACTCTTGTCCTAATCATAATTACATGTATGTGGCTTGGCTTGTTATATATAATTTGTCAGTTAACTCAAAAATCTCAAATCAATTTTATACTCCTTTTATAATATTTTCTACGACCCATCTGCCCCTCAATCTGAAAAGCGACTCTGTGAACATTTTTGTATGTTGTTGTATATTGAAGAATTAATTCAAGTTTGAACTCGTGCAACTTTTCCTTGTATTGTTAAAACTGAATGTTTCTGTATTCTTCAACTTCCCTGGCTGAAGCAACATTCTCCAGTGTTCACCTATTTTAGCATATTGAAATAAATATTTATGGAACTGTTTACATTATTTTTCTTTTTTACTTAATTTTTTAAATCCATTTTCATTATGCCAGTATCAAAACTCATATTAAATTCTTCAAGCAACAGCCCGGCCCAGCCCATCCGGTGATTGCTCGTCGACGTCAGCGTTTCGGGTGCCACATCATCGACATCGCAGCATGGCACTGCGGCTTTGGTCGACGCCCATTAAAACTCTTTAAAACGGAAAAGTCCAAGTTCAGGATACACAGGGGGAAAAAATTAGGGCAATATATCTCTCCATCCCCGTAAATTTTTCCTTGTCCAGTGGACAAGGTCCACTTGAGTAGGGGCAAGGGTCCGGGTTTCCCTGGTGGCGAGCGTGGCGCATTGAGCAGCGGAAAGTGGCCGCGTGGTCGAATAGTACGCGTCACGTGACCCACAGGCCCTCCTTCCTTTATTTAGCACACCTCTGCATGGACACAGCATCAGCATGAGCACCCCAGCACCGCAGCCCGTACCTAAGCGCGGTATCGTCAAACAGGTACTAAATTAAGCAAAACATGTCAATAATGTGTTTTAAATGTTACGGTGATTCATTTGAATGAATCTAATCATTGGACAAATAAAATTTTCTGTGAGAAATTGAGTGGTGTTGATGTTACCTGGCAGCTCCCCCAGAGGAGTCTGTCTGCTGGGAACCTTGTCGGCTTCGATATTTTCGTTACTTAGCAAGGTTTTTCTTCATTTAGGTCCTGTCAGGGGACTCTGTTGTGATCCGCGGCCCGCCCAGAAAAGGAGCACCTCCTCTAGAGAAAACTATTCTCTTCTCCAATGTTCTGGCACCAAAGTTGGCTCGTCGAGCGACAGCTAGGTAGGTGCTCCCATTTATCAGCAGAATTCTGATTGTTGCCTATTTTATGGGGAAGTGAAAATTCTGATTCGCAGTTCAAGTTTTTGTCTTTTTCTGAACGTGTTCCTGGAAGTATTATTTATCGATAGCTATTATTGTAAGCTCTCCAGCTGTGATGTCGTGTGCTATGGACTGCCAACCAACCAGCAGTACCTTGCCAACACAGCTGATGTCCCTAACCTCAAAACATCCTAAAGTCACCGGGTTGTACCGTGGCATACTATAGCATACTTTCTCTGAATTGTGCTCTTCTTTTCGCACTTTGGATATTTTTTGGATTTTGAAGTCTATTTTCTTTTAATCATATACATCTGGCCATTCTTTTGTACCAGAAATCCAGAGTCTCAATGTCTGCATCCAGTTTATTGAGTTTTAGAGTTCTTTGTCCTCTTTACTCATACCTATTCATATATAATTTTCTTGTATGTATGTAGTGCTGCTGACACTAGAGATGAACCTTGGGCATGGGAAGCCCGTGAGTTCCTTCGTAAAAAGGTGATTGGCGAGTCAGTTTTGTTTGTTTCGGAGGTGAGCTCAAACCAACGGGAATATGGTGTTCTTTACCTCGGCAAAGGTAAGTTTATTCTGCCAATCAATCATTTTGTTTGAAAGAAAAACCTTTTTATATCCACATTTATTTACTTTATTATATCTGTACAAATACAAATTGATCAAAAATTTTCTGATATCATTTTGTGTTATTGTTTAGATATTCAGTCTGGGGAAAATATCACTGAATCATTAGTGAATGAGGGATTGGCAACTGTGCGCAGAGATGGACGAGCTCCTGAAGTTGCACGGCTTGTTGAACTTGAAGATGCTGCCAAGACTGCTGGCAAAGGAAAATGGGGAGGAAACCCATCTGTGAGTATACTGTAAACAGTAATTTTAATATCTATCTATTTTATATGTTTATGTGTTTATATGTTATATGCATGTTAAGAAAATGATTCATTCATTCATTCCTTCTACCCCATTGTAGGAACATGTGCGCGACATCAAATGGACTATTGAAAATCCCATGGCCTTTGTTGACAAAATGGGCCACAAGCCCATCAAAGCAGTTATTGAGCATGTCCGTGACGGATCTACTGTCCATGCATTCCTTCTTCCTGATTTCTACAGAATCACACTTATGATCTCTGGAATTCGGGTAAGTGAACTCCTCTGAAAAAAGAAAGGAATGATATTCCCTCTCCGTTCAGTAACATTGTTCTAATTACTGTCTCTTAAAGGCTCCAAATATTCCAAGACCTGATGAAAACAAACAGCCCGATGCTTCAACCTCATTGGCTGAGGAAGCCAAATACTTTGTTGAGTGCCTTCTACTCAACCGAGATGTAGATATTGTTCTGGAATCCACCAATAACAATAATCTTGTTGGATCAATTCTGCATGAGGTAAATTTTATTCATAAACTTGTGCCATTTATCCAAAGAGATCTATCAATTAATGTGTTTAAATATTTTTATGTTTTTGACCTGTAGAAAGGAAATATTGCTGTTGCCTTGTTACGTGAAGGCTTTGCAAGATGTGTAGACTGGTCCATTGCACACATGAAGACTGGTGCAGATAAACTTCGTGCTGCAGAAAAAGAGGCAAAAGAAAAGAGGCTGAGGATTTGGAAGGATTGGACTCCCACTAACACTGTGAGTTTACATTTATTTTCTGATCTTGTTGAATGGGACTATCAAATATGATTCTTTGTTATACTTCAAAACTAAGTACACGTTACAGTTATTTTTTTTACTATTGGTACATTTATTACAATTGAATTGGTGTTTTATCATTGAGAAATTTCTTACTCCAAATTAATTTGTTGTTTTTTCCATGCTTACTTATTATGCATCATGTTTCTGAGCTATGTTATTAGTTTTCAAAAATGTTATCTGCAAATATGTTCAAATATAATTATTAACATCAAATGAAAGAAGTTAATAGCCAATATTTTTTTTTATCTTGGGGTTCTGACATTTTTCATTTTCTTCACATTTAACATTGCTCAGGATGCATGCATGCAAAGTGATGGAAGGAGGCAGGTATGAAATTAGGGTTTAGATTGATAATGTGTGTGCTTTACTTCTGTATACTGCAATAGCTTTAGGAAAACATTTGCATTTGTACCATGTGATTGAAGTTAGTGTCATATTTTTCAGAGTCCTGGTAAAGAGTACTCAGGCACTGTTGTTGAAATTATCAATGGTGATGCCCTAATGGTCAAGGTACCTGGCCAATCTCTTCCCAAGAAAATATTTTTGGCTAGCATTAGGCCACCAAGGGAGCAAAGGTGAAGTCATCTCTAGTTGTGCCATGCAGCACTAAGTTTCTGACAAAATGAGCAATTTTTCATCTGAATTCTATTGCTGCTTTTCAGATCCGCTGATGAGAAACCTGAAGAGAAAGCGCCACTCCCACCAGGACAACGTAAACCAAGGCCACTGTATGAAGTGCCCTATATGTTTGAGGCAAGAGAATTCTTACGAAAGAAGCTTATTGGTAAGAAGGTGAACATTGTAGAAGACTACGTACAACCGGCTTACCAGAATTTTGGTGAGAAAGTTTGCTGTACTGTCACCATAGGAGGAGTGTAAGTAAAGTATTACAGTACACCACTAATCTCATCTAACATCCTCTGTATCGTATCTAACGATTTCACTTCTCTTCATAGAAATGTTGCTGAAACTCTTGTGAGCAAGGGTCTTGCAACAGTTCTCCGTTATCGTCAAGATGATGATCAGCGCTCTTCACATTATGATGGACTTCTTGCTGCCGAGACTAAAGCGGCTAAGTCTGGACATGGCTTACACTCAAAGAAAGAGCCCCCAGTACATCGAGTTGTTGATGTTTCTGGCGATCTAGCAAAAGCAAAGCAGTTTTTGCCATTCCTTCAGCGTGCTGGAAGAATTGATGCCATTGCTGAGTTTATCACAAGCCGATCCCGTCTTCGACTTTACATCCCTAAGGATTCAAGGCTGATTACATTGCTGCTTGCTGGAATTTCATACAACAAGACTAAGCAAGGACAATCACCTTATAATGATGGAGAGCCTTTTACTGATGAAGAGGCCACTAACTTTACTCGTGAGAAGTGTATGCAGCGTGAAGTACAAATTTCAGTGGAATCTATGGATCGGGTTGGAAACTACATTGGTTGGCTCTGGGTAGAAAACACAAATCTTTCTGTTGCTTTGGCTGAGGAGGGCTATGCCAAAGTGCACAGCTCTGCTGAGTACTCTGACCATCACCGAGCATTGAAGGCTGCTGAAGAATCCGCCAAAGCAAGACGAATTGGGGTAAGTTTCTTCTATTGCAATTTGGCTTCATTGTGGTTATATAGTATGTTTGTTTAACTTCTACCATTTTAAACAAAAATGTGTTTTTGTAGGTTTGGAAGAATTACAAGGAAGAAGATGAACAGGAAGTAAAAGAAAAGAAAGAGGAGGACAGGAATGTGGACCGTCAAGTTAATCAGATAAGGGTAGTTGTCACTGAAACTACCCCTGAGCTTCACTTCTATGCTCAAGCAGTTGATCAAGGTCCCAAGCTGGAGGCTTTAATGGCTAAAATTCGTCAGGAATTTACTGCTAATCCTCCACTTCCTGGAGCCTACCAACCTAAAAAGGGTAAGCATACTCTAATATTTCACTATTCTTTCTAGTACATATGCTTCTATATGTTACGGCTGAGGTCGGTCCCCGGCTTAGGTCAGACCCTGGCCGGCTAAGTCAGTTGCAGCCGAAACTTCGGCTAAGGTGCCCCGTGGCTGGATGAGGCCTACTTTAACCGGTTAAGGTAGACCTTAGCCGGCACAGAGCGGTAGTTGTACGCGGCTGAGCGTTGCAAAAAAGCCTTCTCTGACCGACCGTCTCTGGCTGCTTCGGTCCAGAGTCTGGGCGCGTGCAGACGAGAGGTGAGAAGAGGTGGCCCCCCCTCCTCACCTCTCGCCTGCACGCGGCCAGGGCCAGAGACGGTCGGTCAGAGGAGACCTTTTTGCAATGCTCTGGTACGAGGGAGGGGATAGGTAGGGGAGTAGGGTATGGAAGGGAAGTTCACGAAGTATTTCTTGTGGTCGCCGGTTTCTATTAAGTATTCCTTGGCTCCCTTCGTCGTAACAGCGTACTTCTTCAGGCGATCGTGCTCCTTCATCGTCAGCCCCTTGCCCTCTTTCTCCAATGCTCCCTTCACTTCTTTGTTAACTTCTTGGTACTTCTCGTCGCTGAGGTACCGGGGAGCGCTAGTCCCTCGCTTCGAGGGCGGAACGGGCGGACTTCCCTCCCCCTCCCACCCCTCTAGGATTGAACCACTTTAGTCGCACTGTGCCGGTGACTTGTGCCACTGTGGTCTACCTTAACTGGTTGAACTTGGCCTCAACCAGACTTAGCCGGTTGAAGTACCCAACTAGCCTTAGCCGGCTAAAGTTCGCGCTCGCGCCACGCGATACCTTAGCCGAGGTTTCGACTACGGCCGACTAGGCCGGCTAGGTTCGGACCTTAGCCAGGGACCGACCTTTGTCGTAACATATACACTTCTTACTAACTTTCTTTTCTTGTATTTCTAGGTGACGTATGTGCTGCCAAGTTTGTTGATGACGAGTGGTACCGAGCCAAGGTAGAGAAGGTTGAAAAAGGTGGAAATGTCAGTGTACTGTACATGGACTACGGTAACAGGGAAACTTTGTCAGCCACGCGCTGTGCTCAGCTGCCGTCTGCTTTCACTCCCGAAAAAGCTTATGCTGTTGAGTACCAGCTGTTTGGTGTTACACTCCCACCAGACGTGAGTCCACTAACATTCAAAACACTGTGTGATAAGGAACTGCTTTAAAGCGTCGAGCTAACTTTGAAATCTGGTTGTTTTCTGAAACAGGCGGATTACTCTGAAGAGGCAAGAAGTACATTCAGATCGGATGTTCTTGATCGCACGCTTCTGCTGAATGTAGAGGTCAACGGATCAATCCCCCTTGCTACACTTGAAGATCCTACCAGCAAAGTGGATGTTGGCAAAGCTTTAATTGAGGATGGCCTCTTGCTTGCTGAAAAAAGAAAAGAGCGCCGTCTGGCCAAATTGGTAAGAATAACTTGCATCTAAGATTAGATTGATTTTTTTTTTGAAGATTCCTATCCTTTTCCAATCTTGATTGTTTTATTTGTTTTCTCTTTCACTACAATTTAGTTGACTGACTACAAGAATGCTCAAAGCGAAGCTGCCAAGAACCACTTGAAAATATGGGAGTATGGAGACATCACTGAGGATGATGCAAAGGAATTTGGAATGTAAAAGTGAAGACCGGTTCATGGACCGAGTCATTAACAGTGTTAGTTAAGTGGTCTTACAGGTTGCTTGGATTTTAAGAACATGCTATGTTGGCATGTAATATCTAAGGGGGAGATGTAACAATATGAACTAGCTCATATGCCAGTGTTGTGTCTTTGTTAACTTTCCTCATCAGCTGTTTTAAGTAAGATGCCCTTTTTAATTTCCACCTAGAACATTACCCGGAAATCATATTTTTTTGTGTATAGTGCTTATACAGCTAAACCTGTCAATGCTGCATTTTTACCTAGATTGTTTGGCCCTTCTATGAAGAATCCATCAACAGCAATGTATTCAATTTCATCTTAAGAGTTGCTTTTTTATTATACCACTTCCAGCATTTTCTGGCACCTGATGTTTCTTGTAATTTGTGCTGGTTTTAGGGATAAGCATTGGTTATTTCCTTTGTTTTCATCAATTTTTTTCATGTTGCAATATTCAATGCATTGGGTTTGCCATGACATAATTGAATTGTTGTCTTATACTTCCTAGACTAGAATAATATTCTAGTTTGTTTTGTTGTGTTCAATAATAATGAAATGATATTGTTATGTTAAAGGATGCAGTCTGATATGTCCAAGTTAAAATTAAGGTTATACAGTGTGAATGATGTGAAGTTAAATATGAATTAGATACTTTTACCATGAGCATATCTTCCAAGATGATTGTTTTCTGATTGTTACTTCTTTGCTTGTTTTATGACTTACCTGAAATCTAGTGCAATGGAATATACCGAAGTAGAAACAGCAGCAGGTTGTGCTTTTTATACCACCACTGCTGGAAAGTGGATTTGCATTAGCGTCTGGCAACAATTGCCGATCAAATCGTCAATGTTGTGATTTTATGACAAATTATTTACATTAATGTGTATATATATATTTGCATATATAAATATACATCAATATCTTCCTAGATTATTTTACTGTGTACATGCCCAAGCTACCAAGGAGCTGATCTCAAGCGTTGATGGCAAACTTTTTCTATGCCTGTGAACTGGTTGTAACTAGAGAACATTTCAAGGGTATTTTCAGTTACACACAAATCCATGTTTGTTTTAACTCAAGCTTGTACAGTGTGTTAAATATCTGCTCCTATAGTTAAGATTGGCAGTGCATGATCATTAGCACACCTGCTGAATTAATTACAGAACAGTGTTTTAACTGCCTGGTATCGAAATCTGTGCGAACATTATCGTGATGTAATCAATGTGAAAATTTATATTTAAATTACCTATATCAAATG